CAAAAAACAATATAAAACACATCACTCGAGTTATAAGATTAAAATGAGGGTAGTTTCAATGTGAGTAGAAGTTATTTATGACTATACTTATGATGTTTAGGTTTATGTATAGCTGAAGATTTAATAAATATAAGTATTATTCCTACGGCATCAAAAATGTTGAGTTAATATCAAACTTATGATCAGTTCTAACTATATTTTCGATACTAGCAGAAGATGGATGTTTATCATCAGCTTTTATTGAATTATCGAAATATATATGTGTTTGAAGTCTTTGAGAAATATCTTCATCTACAAAGAACTTGATTGGTCTAATAAAAATGTACTTGTGAAACGTGTTCAATGATACTTGTTCTTTTTATTTAACCTCTTGTTTATTTAAAATGAAAATGTTTTGAATGAAATAATCGTATTTATTATTATATTAAATTATCTTATTATAACCCCAAGAGGATAAAATAAACGTAGACTGAAAGTTTTATACAAAGATGTAATCATTCATGCGTACTAATTTACGGTAGTTTGAATTTATGTTGACCTCATTAAAATGCTGAAAAAGAAACGTTCACTTCTTTGCACTACTTCAGACATAGAATAGAAACTTATTAGAAAATCGTAGGTTCGTATAATCCAGGATAAGGATCAATGTGAGATAAATTTAACGGATAAGGAGATCTACTTAAGGCTGGATAGATCGAATGAATGTCTCACGAAATCACTTCAATAAAGAAAACCTCATGGACATAGGTAGAGGGAGGACCAAAACGTTTATGTTTCATGAAAAGATATTTATATATTTATTGCTATTTGGTATTTATTTGTTACTTATATTAATTTCAATGAAATTCAACTATTTCCACAATCTCAAACTTGAAGTTATCATGTCCTCACCATGGACTAGCTTCGAGGGAGAATTCTCAGAGTTCTAATGGGAAACCATGACCAGTGGAGTTCATCTGAGCAGGGTGTGAGACAGTTACCCACCGAGGACAAGGAAAGATGGTCGCGTAGTGGTTGTAGTTAGATATTAACACCACTGAATGCCGGCTCAGTGGTCCTGAGTTTGAGTCCCACGTGTGGGATCATGGGTGTACAATGCTGAAGAGTCCCATACTGGGACGAAACGACCTTCCAGGTTTCCAATAGTGATTGACATTAATTAATACATGATTTCAATGACATTAATGTAGATAAACATCACTGAGTTTATATTATTGTACAATACATAGCAACTAATACAAGTATGTGGAACTACCGAAGTATTAAAGTATACTGATTTCAAAGTATGAAAAGTTTACAAAAATACGGCAATACGTATAGGTCACAGTAATACTGATTTTATTCAACTGAAACACATCAATATTCTATTCAGTTAAACTTAAAACACCAGTTCAACATACAGCAAACAAATGAAATTAAGTGTTACTCTGTTTTATTTCCCTAAAATACAATATGCATTATCTGGTAATATTGAAATCATTGGTATCAGTACCGAGGTTGAACTTGATAGTTTCAAATAAATTAAGCAATTGGTAGAAAGTTAATAATAAATACATATATTTTTATATCCCAATGAGTAGAAAAAATTGTATTTCTGATGTTTCGTGACTTAATATAAATTACTTCTTCAAAGTAAATAAGTAACCGAAGTAAGTTAACACAGGTTTAAATAATACGAAGAAAATAATGCAGAATATTTTTGGTATAATCAAAATCATAATAAGTCTGAATATGTCAATGTCAAGTTATACTTGGTTAAGGTGGATTTGTATGACCTGTCACTGTATTAATTTGTGTATGTGTGGATGCGAAAATAATTCAGAAAGGCTTTTCCAACTATAATGAGAGGCGAGTAGCTGAAGTGTTTCATATTATGCTAAGTCCCTCTGCCCCAAATGGGAAAGAATGTCTAAATATTCAGCCAACTTGGACTAGTTACCTAAGCAATTACATCTGACCTTATTTTCCACACAGTCTGCACATACACTTAATTTCAACCCCACTACTTAATTTTACAAATGCATACATTTCTCATACCCACACTCCGGCACAAGTTAATGCAGTGACAGGTCATACAAATCCACCTTAACCAAGTATAACTTGACATTGACATATTCAGACTTATTATGATTTTGATTATACCAAAAATATTCTGCATTATTTTCTTCGTATTATTTAAACCTGTGTTAACTTACTTCGGTTACTTATTTACTTTGAAGAAGTAATTTATATTAAGTCACGAAACATCAGAAATACAATTTTACTACTCATTGGGATATAACAAAAATATATTTATTATTAGCATTATAGTTTGTTTGCTGATTGTTAAAAGAATGTCAAGAATCAATTCGAATACAATACAATCAGATTATGTTGCATGATTTTGTATGACGTACATGTTTTGTTTGCAATTAACATATATTTTCGATATAGATAGAAACCAATATCTATATTTTACTGAAAAACAATCCAGCAATACGGTGCTCCTGGATTTTGTCAACGTTGTGAGCTGCAGAATATTTATTCATTCTAATCGTTTCTCATCAAACAAAGTCTCAGATCTTTTTTAATTAATTAACGTCTAGTATAATTTTTCCGAAAATGAATGAACCCTTGGCTACAAGATAAATCTGAAATAAGCAGAACAGTTTTGTCAAAACAGAACCCAATTTAGATTTTAATAAATTTCCATATCCATGGTTACATTTTATTAAGCTTCCACGACTTCAAACTTCCATTATATAAGTCTTTCATCCGATCAAACTTCAGTTATACTCGATAGTATTATTTGAATAAATGATGTCTAAAATGAATAGTTCTGTTGATTAACCAGTGAATTTGTAGTATGAAAATATGGAAAATTGTATCGAAATGACAAATGAAGTTCTAGGCACTAGATAAATTTTTAAAATTTGTCACTGTTCAATATTTTAAATAGTAGTGTAAAAACTAAACTGACACCACAAGGTATATGTATTGAGGCTTTTTTCAAATCTAGTAATATGTTTACTATAAAATACTATTTGTCAATTCAAAATTAAAATGATTCGATCTCTTATTGTCATACTATTCTAAAGTATATTTGATCCCATTGAGTTATAAGTAACCTAATAAGATTGATAAATAGACATCAATTGGATACCCCTTATTAACAATTATTTTCAGTTTAAATAAACTATTTCTATAAATACGCTAACTATCGATTTTGAGATTAGAATAATCGATAAATGTTTCATGTTTACACAGACTTTTGCTATCGAATTGCTTTGAAATCTACATAAAATCAACATTTTGTTCTTAGTTAATAAATTTCATCTTATTTTTTTATAAACTTTAGAGTCTAATTTTGATAAGCAACAATCCATTATTTTTTTGATCTGATCTAGAGATTCTTAAGGTGTACACATTATTAAAAGCATAATTCCTCCCTCTGTATTCGAAAAAAATATTTATGTCACGGCGAAAGCATGCAACGAATTGCTGGAAAAAAATGACTTACATAATAGGTAAGATAAAAATTGATAGTATCATTTCGGATGTAATTTATATTGATACAATTCTCAATGAAACTATTTACGATCGGTTGTTAACTCTGGTATCAAACTTATTTACTCATCAAATTTCAGGCATACATTCTTTCAAGCTTAGCTCATACGTTGTAGAATATACAATGTACTAAAGAGATAATAAACAAACCAGTTTTGAATATACAATTTACTAGAGAAACAAATTATAATTGATTTTCATATAAAGTTTAATAATTGATAGGCTAACCTGTTAGCAGTTACAGTAGCCATTAATTAGTGTTAAAACATTAAGTGGACATTGATTTAGTTGACTTTGGGAATTGCACATAACTAAAAACATAGATCTCAGGAACAAGTACATTAAGTTGATAAATAAAACCCGGATTTCATCTTATAGAAGTCTTATTGAAAGACAAGTGAATTGTCGGTTTAAAGTATTCACTAAATTATTACTGGCTAATTGTATTTATCAGCGTGTGAAAAAACGAAATTGTTTTTACTGACGTTTTTTTATTTAATGCTAACAGTTTAATCGAAGTAATTTATAAAGAGGGATTTAGAAAGAATTCTCAACTTATTATATGATAATTCGACTAAACAGAAAATTTTTTTTTATATTAGTTCACAGAGTTTTGGTTAGTTAAACTCAACTCTTTATTACTCTAACATTTTTAATGGCATGTTCCATTCGTGAACTGTCACTTACTCTCACATATTTCAATTCACGAACAAGTCATTAAATTTTTAAGCGTCAAAAGGGTATAGTGTATTCATTCTATTAACGGTTGAATGATGCGATTCTCTATGACGTTTTTCACTTTTAAAATAGAGAAGTTAAATGATCAATTTTACTTATTAAAATGTAAGTACAATTATGAGAAAAACATGAGAAAAACATATATTAACTTGGTTCAAATCTATACAAAGCTCCAATGGTTGAATAAAGTGTAACTGATAAGCGAAATGTACACATAGTCCTTTAAAAACTATTTTGAGATATGTTGAATTAATGATAAGATCTTGATATTAAAAATTAGTGAAAGTGATTGGATTGCCTTAGTAACTGTAAATTAATATGATTATATGACCTAATAATGATCCTCGAAAATTAAATTATTCAATAAGGTTTCAATGAATTGATTGTTTATCGATTTTATTTAAATTTATATTATTAGTATTCGATATATTCACACTATTATGGTTTTAGTTTTCTTTTCTTTTCTTTTTTTTGAGTATTATCACACACATGTATCACAGCTTTGATGAAAAATGTTGTACATTCATTATGGCTTTTATTGTTCATTCATTGAAGATAGTTAACTGAACTTTAGTTATCCACTCTTTAAAAATAACTTAATATTAAAGAATTACTTACTCACTTACTTACGCCTGTTACTCCTCGTGAAGGAACATGGGGCGGTCATCAGCTCTCTCCATCCAACCCTGTTCTGAGCAATGCTTTCAAGCTCTTTTCAGTTGTTATTCATCCTTTTCATATCTGCTTCTATTTCTCTACGTAATGTGTTCTTTGGCCTTCCTCTTTTCCGCCTTCCTTCAGGATTCCAAGTTAGAGCATGCCTTGTGATGCAGTTTGATGATTTCCTTAATGTATGTCCTATCCACCTCCAACGTCTTTTCCTAATTTCCACTTCATCTGGGAGTTGGTTCGTTCTCTCCCACAGTAGGCTGTCGCTGATAATATCCGGTCAACGGATTTTGAGTATTTTGCGTAGACAACTATTTATAAATGCTTATGCCCTCTTGATGATGGTTGTAGTAGTTCTCTAAGTTTCAGCTCTGTACAGTAGACTGTTTTGACGTTCGTATTGAAGATTCCGACTTTGATGGTGGTTAACATTTGTTTTGAGTTCCATATGTTCTTCAATTGTAGGAATGTTGTCCTTGCTTTGCTAATCCTTGCCACTACGTCTGCACCTGATCCTCCACGTTCATTGATGATACTTCCAAGGTACGTGAAGGGTTCCACATCTTCCAGAGTTTCACCATCATTTGTGATTGGGTTGGTATTTAATATAAAATAAAATTTGTGAACTGTTCCATGTTTTTTTTGGAAATGCGTTTTATCAAAATCCGAAATGACCATAAAATTTTGTAAAGTTCATTCAGCATTAAACAGAGGTTTTCTTCCTGATTTCTTTTCATCCCTACCTGATGACATTATTTTGATGAGTGTCTTAATTAAAATTCAAGAGTCAATATTATTTATTTTCATTTGAGTTTATATAAAAATAAAACTTAATATTCAACGAATTTACACTTCTAGGTTAATTTATAAAGGTTCTTTATTTAGAAATCCTCTATTAGGTCAACAAGTTAAAATGAATATAGAATATTTTAAAGTAGGTTAAGGCAATATGGTTTTTAATGGTAAGTATGATTGTTTTTTTTTAATATAAATGAATTTATTGTTACCCAGTAACCTGTTCAACAAATAACTCAAAGTATTCCCTGAAAAGTTTTGTTGAAATATCATTTTATCACATGAAGAATTTATTTGAATTACTGATTCTGATTGTATCGTTTGATCTTTTTTAAACTGGATCATACTTAGAACAAAATAAGGGTATGGCGAAATAATTGTTGCTATAGTAAACCAAAAGTATTAAGGGAAGGTTTGTATAATCAGTTTGATGGTGACATCACTTTACAACAACATTAAGAGTTTGCTGCTTTAAAGAACAGTTCTAAAATTACATTTACTTCTTATATATAAATAATAAGTTGAGGTTTTTTTCTTTTACCTGTTTACTTTTACACATTGTTGTTTGTTATTCTCCAGGCAGTAAATAGAACTAAAGTATAGATGAGAGGATCTCAGAGAAAAAAGAAAAAAATCATATGGTTTATAGATAGTTTTCCACTTCAAACGTCATTCACATTTTTTGTTATTCTTATTTTATTCAGATAATAGGATAAAACGGTAAATTAATTAACTTGAGAATTGAGGATACATAAATTGCTTTCTTGTGTTTTTTTTTCTTAAAGGAAATAACAAAAACCCAAACGAATTAGAAAGTGAGGCAAGATGTCGATAAATGACTGGGATATAGTAAATATGAAGGTAAAACTATAAAATGTATTCATGTAATAGTTTTACAAAGTTGGAAAACTGTTCATAATTTCAAATAAAATCACAGGATAGAGAGATATCTTCCACCATTGCGAAACATTTGGTTGAGACTGGTTACAAGCCAGTTTTTGTAGTTTTGTACAAAAGCCTTCAAGGGTGTATACTAAGGTCTATTGATGCCTCAGCTATACGGCAACTGAAACCCCCTTTGTGTGTTCAAAAATAATTTGTTCATACCCTTAACTTACTCTAGTAATACTGATTTATTATTTAGAGTGGTTATCACATTGTTTTGTGTATTTTATTTTTCTTTATTACGCCTTACCTTTAACCTGACTAGCTGACCCTGTATTTTTCATATAGCAAGTATATTTGTGATCAGATTGATCGAAATGTATTGCGCAAATATATCACATAATTCTGATAACCTTCGTCTTCTCATTGTATTATCGAAATTTATCACAGGGACTAATTTATTTAAAACTATACATCCGTAACGCATTTTACATTATTCGATTTATAAACATTCTATTTATTTCATTGAAACCATGAACTGGTCAATGTGAGATCACTATTGAAAGCCTGGAAGTAATAGGCGACCATTTCTTCCGTAGTATGCAGCTCCTTGTCAGTGCACTTCTTTGCACTGTAATTTATTTATCGCAACAATGAATCGTTCACTATCATCCCATTTTAATTAATGTAGTTGATTGTACTTCCTAGATAGCATTTCTTGTGGTGATGATTTGAATAATTTATCATAAACGATTTCATCATTTTGTTTATTATTAATTTTTAACATTACGGAATTCTTGGCAGTAAATACGAACTACTGAAAAAGTTGTATTTTCACTACGTAGTATAAGTGCGGAACTTCATAAAAGAAATGTTATTGATTCTTGCACAACATTGATAAACGGTCATTTTTCTTACAATACAGGGCTTTTCAGAGTTGTACCGATGCAGCTCACATCTAATATATATGGTATAGTTAGGAATTTTAGTTGATTTAAACGTCTGAAAGTCTCATATTGATCGCACCACAATTACGTTGGTGACTGTACTTTAGTTGTTTTCCTAAAAACACTTACGCAAACGGTAGTCATTTACGTATGTAATACAGCCTAAAAGACTGAAAACTAGGTGGTTACAATATTAAAGCAGATAGTCAAAAATCACTATGCCTAGATAAAATAGATGGAATGTCAAAACTTATTGAATGATTAACAATTCGTCCTAAAATTTATGTTTTATTTGACATTTTTGAAACAAAACAGTACAGTTTCTGAATAATTTAATGTCGACTTTAAAAAATGTCACGCTTATTCTCGTTTAGTAGTCTGAAAATATCATATATACGTATGTTATTTAGTTTTCTTCAATACATATTTTAAAGATAAATCATCTAAAATGTCAGACTCAGCAGTAAATGTTTATGTCGACATTAGTTTGATATATTTTTGTGTTATATTTCCAGTGTAATCTAATTTGAAAATTTATGTATGGACTATTTTTTGTGATACGAACGTCTGTTTACCTGGATAAAACATGTAACATTTTGTTTTACTTAAAGATTACAATACAATATATGAATGAGCAATTATACTGTCTGTACAGTTTTAAGTAGAATAGAGGTTCAATGTATCATTAGGAGTAATAAATGTATGTATATATCAAAGGAAGGTTTTGGGAAAATTTATTATGGGTTATATCATAAGAGGTATTATCCACTAACTATCTTTGCTTAGAATGCTTATGAATTAAGGCAATATCGAGGCAGTACGCACAGTATGCACATATTGCCAATAAGAGACTGATCAACTGCAGTCTTAAACAGCAATGGGAAGGTTCAAGTAAATAATACTAAGTCAATTTAGAGGTATTAATTGTTTAATTTTCAAATAACTAAATCAGAAAATCAGTATTTAGTCACCAGATGGATTCATAAATAAACGATGCCTCATCTTCAAGAAAGCTGATGTCTATTGACGAATTCCATTCAATTGTTTGCCATCTTGATTTCTTCGACCGTTGGTAAAGTGACATCCATGAGAAGATCTGCGTGTATTGCTTCGATGTCCGGTCGCTTCAATGGAGCTGGTGTATTTAGCAGTTTCTCGAAGTATTCTACCCATCAGTTCTTCTGTTCTTGAATCTCAGTGATTAGCTTGCATTCTTTTCCTTGACTGGTCTCTCTAGTTTACTATATTTGCCTGCCAGTTTCTTCGTAATTCCATACAGTTTTTTCGTATTTCCTTCTCTTGCAGCATCTTTCCGCTATCGTTGCCAGTTGCTACACGAATTTCTGCTTGTCGGCTCCAATGCTCCACTTCACTTGCTTGTTTGTGGATGTGTTTTCAGCATGTGCTTTGACTGTCTATACTTTTGTTCGGCTGTTGTCAATTGTTGTCTTCTTGTTCTTCCTTTCTTGAATCTTGTCCAGGATTTCGATATAGATCCATTCCTTATGATGCTTCTTGAGACCCAGCATATCCTGACACGTTGAAGTTAATGCTTCTTTGATCCCTTTCAAGTTGTCCTCCATAGAAATTTCTTCTTCTTTCAGTAAGGCTTTCTTGTAAGGCTTGTAGCCTGTTGTTGTGAGCTACTTGGAATTCGTTGGCCTTGTTAGTATCCCAAAGAAAGGTTGTATTGAACCTTCGTAATGCTGTCTCCTCAGTTTTCCAGTGTTTCTTTAGCTTCATTTTCATCTTGACCATAACCAGGTGGGGATCTTAAGTTATGTTAGCTCCTCTCCTGGTTATCACGTCTTCCATTGTCCTTCTGAAAGTTTTAATGATACAAATATGATCTATCTGGTCCTCCGTGGTGCGGTCTGGAGAGATCCATGCAGCTTTGTGTACGTGTTGCTTGCGAATATTGTGCTACTTATAATCACTTTGTTGAATTCACATAGATTTGAAAATCTCTAACCATTCTCGTTCTTTTCTTCTAGTCCATGTCGTCACATGATATCTTCATATCCGGCGTTGTCCATTACAACTTTGGCGTTTAGGTCTACCATCAGAATGGCCAGGTCTTTTCCTGTGCGCTTCGCTATGATTGATTGCAGCCTATCGTAAAACTGATCTTTATTGTCGTCGTCGCTATCTTTGGTGGGTGCATAAAATTGGACAACATTCATCGTGATTCCCTCCTTCTTCGTTTTGAATGGTGCTTTGATGATCCTAGATCCGGGAGATTCCCATCCTATAACTGCATCTCGTGTTTCTTTGGACGGCATCAGAGCAAATCCCTGAGTGTATGCAGCATTTTCCTCTTGGTAATCAGAGTAAAGCAGCATCTCCCACGTACCTAACCTATGCTGTCGAACTTGGGTCCAATAGGTTTCGCTGATTCCGAGAACATCCAAGTTGTATTTTCTCATTTCCACAGTTATTTGACTGATCCTTCTGGTCTTTCACATTATCCGGACATTCTATGTACTTATAAAAATTGTTGCTCTGGTTGTTAGAAGGGGCATCGGCCTCGTGGCTTCCTTAGGAACTCGGCTTTTACCATGAGGCGTCATAGTTCCTCTAAATGAAGACCCTTGAACTTTCAGTGCAGAGTTTAAAATGGTTTAGCTTGTTTATACTGGTTTGCACTTTTTTATTTAGCAAGGTTGGTTTTTATGGGATGGGATTAATAACTCTATATCCAACCCTTCTCTTTTATCCAGGGTTTATACCGACAGTAATCCTAAAAGGGTTACAGGCATAGTTATCTCTTATATATTAATGCATAGAAATTAGAATTTTTCATTTACTGTAACTTAGCTTAATTCATTTCTATATAGTAAACAAATAAATATTATTGAACTACTTTAAAGTAGTGAAATATTAGAAACTTCAATATCTACTCATTGTAATATCAAAAAGTATATCACTAGTTTTATTGTTTAATCTATAATCTACAAAATTCGGCCTAATTTTTTTTTGCTTACAATAATCACCTAGAGAAAAGAAAACATTTGGTATTATATATCATAGTTATTCAACCAAAAGTATTTTCTAAAAACAAAAATTATCATCGTTTTGTATTGGTTATGAATTATTTA